AGGAACCAGGAGAAACTGCTGACTAATTAAGGGGGACAGAAGCCAACAGAGAAATAAAACAAAAGGCTAAAATACATGGGGAAGAAAGTGGAGATTGGAAGCATCTGACCAACAATACAGAGAAGAGGAAAAACAATCAGACAAACAAAGCAGAAAAAAAGAGAAAACTAGGAAAAAAGGCGTAGCGCAGAAGGAAATCTAGCGTTTAAAGAATAGGCTGAAGCATTTACTCCAGCACAGATCCATTTTGAGCCAGGAATGAAACTCAAGAACCTTCACTCTAGTTGCCATTGAATTCCTGTGATGTTTACTGACAGAGCCCTGCATCCCATCACTCAGGAACATGACCTCTTGTTACAGTGTTAGTTTATGAGTCTTTTGGCAGCACTTGCAAAGTTTCCAACCCTACTGCGTACCCTGAGCCTAGTAAGTAAAGCAGCTATGCATCAGGCCAAAAGTAAAGAAAAGATTAATCACTTTGCATGTCTATCCATTAGGATCAGACAGCACAGACCTCATTGTTTAATTTAATGCACTAGGTAGGCCTGGCTAAGCTAGACAGTGAAGCTGAACACATTTTGAGCAGATTCCTTTGTCCATTCTTGCTCTATTATAGCAGAAACTGGAAAACATGTAAAAAAAGAGGAAAAGCTGCTCTGGAGAAATGAGTCAGACCCCTGCTGTCGCAAAAAACTCTTACATGACATCAGAATGGTCACTCGAACCAATCAAGTCTATTTCACAAAACGTAAATTTGTCAGGTGCTAATGTGTAGAAATATGATCTCTTACATCTGCAAAAGGAACATGTACCTCAGCGTTGTACAGATTTTGCAGCCAAACTTTTATTTCATTATGGCAGCCAAAATAAATGACTGCTTTTGATCCTGATCTGTGCTTGAGTTTTTCATGTCTAAAACAAAAAGTTTCTCTTGTCTCAGCTCAGTGAAGAACAGAGAGGTAACAGAAGATACTACTGAAGATAATTATTTTAAAGCTTTATTGTACTTTAGAAATAAATACGATATAAAGGGCTTCAGGGATTTACTCCACTTATTTATACAAAACAAGTCTCAGGGCATCTGCTAATCTGTAATTAGAAATATTAGCTACTCATCAAGGTATGTAAGGTAGGTAATGTATGGAACGGATGAACCCTAGCAAAAATCTGCTTGGTAATGAACCGGAAAACAACTGAGGTAAAAGCTCCCCTTGTGGGTAAAACTTTCAATTTGTTCATGACCTTAAATTCAAAAGTAGCTCTGTTTAACAGAGGCAGTATAAAATAGTTATGTTACCTTTCTGTAATCATCACATTTTTGGGGAAAAACAGGACAGTCACTTCTCGTTCTTCTCCAGGAAGAAGGAAAAGATTCTCAGGTTCAACAGCAAAGCAGCTGATCTGATCTGATGTCTGAAAGTGGGCAAAGGGAAAAGGGAGGGTTGGTTACTTGTTTTAAGGGAGAAAACATTTCTACAACATCTAACACAATTTGTTTGTGCATCTGTTGCACATGCAGTTCCGACAATTCAAATATATCTGGCACCTTTAGAACTTTCCCATTACTCTGCACTGGTTAAATTATTCTAAAATCAGACACTAGTACAATATCTCTAAGGGAAGCATCTTAATACATCAACTGTGTATACAACACTGAAGGAGCCACATGTTAAGATGGCATTTGTGATACTAGTCATGCATCCTGTTTCCATGGCCTCTGTTCCAAGAAACGATGGGCTTGTAACACTCAATTTTTATTTTTTTGCTCCTTCTGTTGACTTTGAAATGCTAGTTTCAAATGTGCCTAGTTACCTTTCAGTCTGGGACCATACTTTCCATGGATATCTGAAAAGAACTTGCTTCATACATGGGTTGGCAAGATGTCCACTGAAAATATTTTCGAAAAATATACGTTTCCCAGAGCTACTATCTCTCTTTGCACTAATGGGCTTCACTTCATCAGCTAATTAACATCTGCTGTGCAGCACAGGATTCACTACTTCTGTTACACACTTGTTAAAATCTATTTATGAGTCATAAAAGTATGTTTGTTAAAACAAATATAACCAAAGCTGAGCAAACAAACTACCATATGCTTTTTCAAATAATGTGAGCTAATCTCTTTGCTATCTTTCATTCTTTTTATGTGAACTTGTAATCCTTTTGTCAAACCACACAGCTGAGCTAGGATCCCAAGGCTCAGCTCTAGTTTCAATACAACATTAACAGAACAAAACTCTTCACTTCAAGAGGGAAAAGCCAACTTACCTTAATTTTCAAATGTACAGCAATGTTTCCAGCATTTTTCAATGGCAGCTGCTGTTTGGCTGTTGAACCCACACTAGTAGACAGATATATTGTCTGGAAAACGTAAAGTAAGAGTGTATGTGGGTATGTATACATATATAAGAAAACAAAATATTACGAAATAAGTAGGCCAGAAGAGGCAAACTTATTGAAACACACTTTGTAAATACATGCAAACCTGTAAGTCCTTTGGAGCATGGATCCTCGCTGTTCCAGCTCTTGCTCGGAGAGGAATACTTTTAATCACACTGCTAGGTCCTGGACTATCCACTTCCACATCAACTCTTGCCAAGAATTCTTCCGCTGGACCCAACGAATCTAGGAACAATCCCACGAGTTAACAAAAGCAAGCACGTAGCTATTGTGCAACTAACATATTAATGTTGTTGTAATATTATCTTGCCAAGAATTCTTCCGCTGGACCCAACGAATCTAGGAACAATCCCACGAGTTAACAAAAGCAAGCAAGCCTGCTGGCAGCAAAGGCCATTCCTATGGGTGTGTGTTTCACGTAGCTACTGTGCAACTAACATATTAACGTTGTGGTAATATTAACAGAAGCTCTTCTGTTACTCTGGAAGCACTTTTTTATTTTCTTTTATATGAAGTCTCACGGGACCTTATTTAAGAGTTTTACTGTTCTGTCAAATGTGGCTGAAACTGTCCCTAAAGCAAACAAAAAACCATCTTAACATACCAGCCAAACTAGTTGATATATGCACTATTTTTAGAAAGTCAGAAAAACTAAGAAGTTTCTTTAAATTTCTTATCTATTTTGCAACAAACGTCATAGTTTAAGTGACGACTTAATTTCCTCAGCAAAGGGAGTAAAGCAAATTTCATATCTCTTGCAGCAAATAACCACTTTGTACAGTTTAATTCTGTATAAGTACCCCTGATAACATCTAAAAGATTCAGACACAGAAGTATTCTGCCTCCTTTAGTTCCTAAAACCGAATGTGATACCCAAAATATTAGGACACACGAACCAAAAATGAAACATTTTAGTTCAAGTTTGCAGCCCATTTCTGCAATTCTAACACATGCACACGTTAAAACGCAAATATGTTGCACTTGAAATGAAAATAAAATTGCTATACCTGAAGAAGAAATTCGTTTCTTAGGTGCATGGAATAGAACCCAAACTGTTAAAGCTTCAGGATCCTAAAAAAGAAATTGGTTGAGTCATCTTATGGGAAGGAATTACTGAAGAGGGGAAGAAAAAAAAAAAGCAATAAAACTATACCGCTCAAATAGATAGACAGTGTCATCTTATGGGAAGGAATTACTGAAGAGGGAAAAAAAAAAAAAAGCAATAAAACTATACTGCTCAAATAGATAGACAGCAACTTACAGGAAGAAACAGCCAACTACAAACTACTTACTTGCCCATCACAGCTTGCATGTATGACATGATTTACAACTGATGGAGCTCCTATCTGAGAAACTGCATCCATCTGGAGCAATTGCTCTTTAGAAGGATTAACTGGTTCCTTGGAAAATGTGAAGCAACGCCAAGCTACTGCATTCTGTCAAAGAGATATTATTATTAGAAGTATTACATCTCTTATAGTCACTAACAATAATACTGACAAAGCTGAGAAATGTAAGGCAAGATGATTGGAGCAGTTTGGAAAAAATTACTATTAGCCTCTAGTTTCAGTTGGTATGTCATAGTCCAGCAAATCTCTAAAATAGTCATGAACCCTGCCACAGTAAAAGGAGGCAAGCAGGAACTAGTTAGTTTAAACCTTTAAGAAGTTTGTTTGTTCAAACCTCACTGGTCACCAATACAACCTGATCCGCCTTAACACAAGGCCAGTCCGTTCTCGTGCTCTCACATACGGAGACAAGACCAGCTCTTCCCACAGCACAAACCAGCAGCCAGCCCCACCAAAAACCTGCAATCGGCACGGCCACAGAGATGCAGAGAGGCTACTGCTGCATAGTGGGAGGCAAGGCAGACAGAGTGAAGAGTCCTGCTCTTGTCCCCACAGAGGAAGGGAGAGCACACTGAAGTTGCTAGGAACCAACTCTTGGCTGTTTGCGCAGTTAGCTGTGCCGCTTGTACAGTGGAACGCATCTCCCACTGCAAAGAGTGAAGGTTTAGGTTGAACCCTTATGCTAGTTGCTGATCTGTGCTATCGAATCAGGCAAAACAGAGGCAGTAGTTCACAGCTAGGCTGTAACCAAAAAAAAAAAAAAAAAAAAAGAAAAACAAAACCAAACAATCCCATCCACCACACCTATCCCAGAAGTATTTTTCTTGGTACTGTTATAGCAGAACGAGACTAACACCCTGCAAAAAAAATTTACTTTCTGACAAACCAAAGATTTCCTGGGAATCTTAGATCTAGCGTCAAAGGTATATTTCTTAATGACATATCTAACAAAGTATATTGGCAGTGAAATCCAGTATCGCAAGAAGTTAACTTTCACAAGTTTAGTGTACTTACTGCATTAATAATAAGTCTAAGTGGCACAAAAGCATGGGTTTTGTTGATAAGTTTTAGTGGAAGAGCCTTCCAACTGCCGGAAGTCAAGTCACCAAAATCCAGAGAATCTCTTTTTCCTATTTCCACCTGGTTTTAAGGCAAAGTAGAACTTAGAAGGAAGGAAAATCACCAAAAACACACTATCATATAAAAGCACCAGGAAAGTAAGGACATTATGCATCTATTCCATTCCCCTAAAGCTCTATCTGCATACCATACACACCTCATACTGGGGTAGGAGGAGTCCAGAAAATACGATTCCTTTGATTTCAAAAGGGGTTACATCCAATCGGCTATATCCCACATATTTTGCCTCAGTCAATTAAGTCAACCTTAGTGCAATATTTATCTACCAAAGCCCAGTATACAAACAAATTATTCTGGCTACTTTAAAGAAAAAATAAATTTAAACTGCGATTACTGCTACCAAGTAATAAATGTCAGTTTCACATAGTTAAAATGTCATTGTGTCCAGTTAAAAGTTAAGAAAATCACTAAGGAGTAGTTAATTTTTTGTTAGCATAAAGAGACTTGAGTGTTGTGACCTGCAGCAAAATATAGCTTTTATTCAGTACTTTTTTTCAATCTCAGCAATAAAACAAAAGGTGCAGAGATAAAGCATAGGGTTTAATTTTAATTTAAACATGAAGTAAATTTGAATGAATTATACCATGAAGAATATGGACAGTGATGGATTTTGCCATATTACATATTTTTAAAGGTATTTAAAAACAAATTTAAGATGCATGGAAGAAGTATTAAAATTATATCTAGTGTATTGAACTAGAACATTATTACTTTAAAACATTTACTTAGCCCAAAGCTAGTTAACAGACTACCTTAAAATGGAAAAAATAGTTAGCTGTGGCTAGTGGTAGAAATTTTTACTTTCATCAGCAATATCACAGACTATCATGTTATCTACTGAGGTACCTTCAAAAGTACCATCAAGTCCATTTCTGCCTGTCCATGCTCTTAAATTTAGGACTACGTAAACCCAGATTTAATTCTTAATGTCCCACTGTCTCACACCTGGTCTCCCACCTGGTTGTTCTTCATGATAAAACACAAGAGAAAGCATTTTAAAAATTAATTGATTGGATGTACAATTATTCCAAAACAGGAAAATATTTTCTACAACCATAAATAAGCTGGAAGTAATACGAGAGGACAAAGCCTACTAGATGTAATATGCAAAGAAATCCTGGAAATAAATGCTTTTTGTTACATTTTAATGCCCAACAGTATCCAACATAGCAGATACTTAGAAACCATTGGATGTTTAAGATCTTATCCATCCCTCTAATAATGAAGAATACCTTTTAACTTATTCTTTTCAGACATGTAGGCATTTTCAGCTAGGTACCCTTCCACAACTAAAACTCCCCAGATATTTATAAGCTTCTCATATACATTGTCCTACATTCCCTCCACACTCCACACATAAGAAATTCTAGGTTTCTTTGAGAAACAACCTTGCATTTCTATTCTTTTCCAGCATCATTTAAACTATTCATAAAATTTTAACAACAAAACCCCACAATAAGCAGATACTTACTTCTAGATGAGGATTTTCAGACACTGCTGTCACAACTACCCTACTTGCCAAAGCTTCTGCCTGAATGATTGTCTCGGCATCTGCAGAAACTGGCCAAGATGACACGTTGAGAATACACTGAAAGATCCCCGAATGACAAGGTAAGAAAAGAATTTTCAGATCATTGGTAGAATAGGGTCCTACGATGGTTTTGTTCTTGAAAACCAGACATTGGTATTTCGCAGGATCCATCTGAAAAACAAAAGCCTCTGTCATTTTCAACAGGCCCCTCTTCCGAGAAGACAGCTTCTTTCAAAATAACACATTTATTTGGCACCATTGTTTAGCACAGACATTTTGTATATGTTTTTGCTCAATTTTAACTATTGCATCTTCATATTCATGTCCCACTTCTATCCCAATGAACTCACTTAAAAAGTTAGGTAAATCAGCCTGAAAGTTGCTGGGGTTTATTTCTAGCGCCTAGTGAAAGATTAAGACTGGGTTTATAGCATTTATCATAGTTGAAAATTAATTCATAAGTAAACCCCTGATTTTTTAGAAAGAACAGCAGCCAAATAAACAGAGTCAGTTCTATGCAGTGCTTTCTGACACCAAAGATGGGAGGAAGAGATATGGTGGAAAAGTAATGGAAAGGTCAGTGGATGAAGGTCACCAGTAAATCCTAGTGAAGATGTCTCAAAGTTTCTGTTGCAAACATATGCATAGGCAAACCTTCAGACAGGAGAGCTTGAAGAGACTGCAGTGTATCTCAGAGTTAATTTGACTGAAAAAATGTTTTGAAGTATATCATGCAAACAAATGTATATATTAATTCATGGAAACAACTGTAAATAAGACTGTCAACCATAAAGTAATTTAATTTTAAAAAAAAACAAACCCACCCCCGGTACAATAGAATTTTGGGTTTGAATAACTGCATAAGAGCACCATGTTACCAAGAGACTAGTAAAATATGTATGAAATCTTAACCCTCATACACATGTGTATATATACAAACACAGACTTGCAGTTCGGTGGTTTTTAAAGGTGAAACATTCAGAGAAAACTGGAGCCATATCAGAAGTTATACTCTGGAAAGACAAGTGCTACATCTGATAGAAAGTCACACCTACAGAGGGACACGATAAGGATTTCTAACACTTGGAAGCAGCAATATATAAAGTAAATTGGCATCCTGGCTTGTATTAGAAATTTTGTGACCAGCAGAAGAAGGGAGGTGATTGTCCCTCCGTACTCAGCACTGGTGAGGCAGCACCTTGAGTACTGTGCTCTGTTTTGGGCACCTCAGTATAGGAGAGATATCGAGGTGCTGGAGCGAGTGCAGAGGAGGGCAACAAAGCTGGTGAAGGGCCTGGAGAACAGACCTTTTGAGGAGTGATTGAGGGAGCTGGGTCTGTTCAGTTTGACGAAGAGGAGGCTGAGGGGGGATCTCATCATGCTCTACAATTACTTGAAAGGACATTGTAGAGAGGTTGGTGCTGGTCTCCTCTCACAGGTAATTAGGGACAGAACCAGGGGGAATGGTTGCAAGTTGCAACAGGGCAAGTTTAGGCTGGACATTAGGAAGAAAATCTTCACAGAAAGAGTGGTCAGATACTGGAACAGGCTGCCTAGGGAGGTGGTTGAGTCACCATCCCTGGATGTGTTCAAGCGTCGTTTAGTTGTGGTGTTGGGTGATGTGGTTTAGGGGTGAACTTGTAGTGTAGGGTTAATGGTTGGACTCGATGATCCCAAGGGTCTTTTCCAACCTGAATTGTTCTATGATTCTATGATTCTTTGATTCTACGATTCTACGATTCTATGAATTGTTGTCCACAATTTCTCAGTAATGAGGACCATCAAAGAAAACCAGTAAGATCCAGGTTAAAGGAAAAAAAAGTAGTAGTGCATAGAATCTATAACTGAACTGAAATGTGGACAAGACTATACAACTTCAAAAGACGAACTAGATAAAAAGTAGTCCACCAAAAACTAGTAAGAACAGAAATAACATCTAGCTCAAAAGTTCCCAAGCATCAAACTGCCAGAAGCTCAGATTATATTATGCTTGTTCTGTAGTTACATTCTTCTCCATTAAGGGTATTCATTAGTAAAAGAAATTAAATTACACTGATGAACTTTTAATCTACTTCATTCTCATGTTCTTGAGATCTCTCATCTCTGGAACTATTAGCATCATAACATAAGTAGATAGAATTTAAAAAAATTCAAGTGCAGGATGCCAAATTTACAGCCTACAAGCTACCTATAAACCACAGAACCCATCCAGCTTGAAGCTTGCTTGAAGCTTGCTTGAAGCTTGCTTGAAACTGCTCCAAATATTTCTCATTCTCTGCCACTCAAGATCTCCAGATTTCAAGAAAAATGGGAGCAAACTGCACATAATGTTCTAGCAGTAATAGTCCTCAGCGTGGATGCTGTCCTTCCTAGGGCTTCCTTTTTCTTGCATACAAAAGTGGGAATGAATAAGCAGTAAACTCAAACCTACCACATTTTACATGCACAAAACAATTCTGCAAGCCAGAATTGTGGCATTTACCCCTCCCTACACATATCTGTTGGAATAAGTCAGGTAGCCTGGCTGAGAGAGAGTAGCACTGCTTTTCTGCATATTAACTGTAAAATACAGAAAAATTACAAGCCTCTACAGAGAGCTCTAATTTTACATATGATATTTGGTAAAATTACAGCATCATTCCTATAGCTTTTATTTTAAAAAATCTCTTACCTTTTCCCCATTAACAGAAACACTAAGTATTCCAATGTTGACCTGCAACCACCGTTCAGTTGGATTAAAAATGCCAAGAACTGTCTGTGATGCAATTCCCACACAACAGGCATTAGGGAACTTCAATTCTTCTGGTACTTTTACATGTCCTTTGGAAGAAAACACGCTCCTGTTAGTCCTGAGTACCCAGAAGCAAATGAGCACTCAGTGTCATTTAACAAATAACACATTTGACAAATGCTTAATTAAGGTAAGGAAATGTTTCACTCCTGCAGTTTTCATAAAAAAGGTTTTCCACAAGCCTAATACTTGGAATTTCAATCAGTTATTTCTAATTTGCACCTTACTTGGAGTTCTAGTGTCATAAACAAAAATACTTACGGAAACAATCCCATGCAGACATCAATCCAAAAAGTGTATGTGTGTGTGTGTGTGTATACATACATATACATATATATATATATACACCATAAAAAAATAATCAGTGTTCACAATTTAATTAGCACTAGACCAACTCAGAAAATTTTTATAACAACATTTTTAGAACTTTTACACCAACCAAAAAAGAAAATCTTTTCTCACTAGAGTATAATTGTTACCTAAAAAGGTGTTTAGGCATCTTTTGTTAGAGAAAATACCAAGCACTCCTAGAGTAGATTTTTGCTGTACAGGTGTGGTCAACAAAAGTTAAGACCAAATAAAAAAGAAATTGTGTTTCAAATATTTTACTTTCAGAGGAATTGCAACATTATAATGACAACTCCAAATTCAAATAAAGGCAAGAGTTCACTGGCACACCAAGGGTCAATCTTCATTACATCCAGAAACTCACTAACAGAAACTCATGTCAAATTTAAAATTTAACTTCTCAGAGACACACCTAATCATCTGAAGTAGTTTTAGTTACTTGAGCAATAAGCTTTATTTTAAAACCACATACTCTTAATCTCCTCCAAAAAAAGTTTGCACAAGTCTGAAAGTGAATATATACACTAATATAAAAAATTATTAAAAAATGCTAGCAGCACTGGAAATTAAGTTCAAAAACTCAAGTTTTCCAAAAATCAAGTTTAGACCACACAGATATTCAGAGTTCAAAAACATGTACAAATCCCTAGAAATTATGTATATTAAAAACAGGCAATTAGTAACATTGTTCAAATTTTACTATTTTAAAATGCACTAACAAAATCAATGATTTAGAACAATCAACAAAGAAGAAAGAACCTATAAACTGTCACAAAGTTAAACCTTTAACCCCACTAGTTTGTACTGCATCTGAAAGAATTAGCCAGAAGAAAGTACAACTAAAACAACTAAAGAGATCATAGGTTACAAGAAGTCTTTGAAATGAAACACTAATTTGCATTGCTTAGGTTTAGAGCTAAGTCAGGACATAGAGAAATAGCAGAAAGTACAGAGGCACTTGACAGATCGGTTTTCCCCTTCATAATCAGAGAAGAGCTTAAGATCTCTGCTCTCCTCCTTGGATTTTTTGGCTCAACTGACTGCTAATACTAAGTCAGCCCCCAGGCAGAAACATCATCTACTTTCCACACAAAACGTAACTGAATTTCCAGTCTTGCACAGCATGAACCACAGCTAGGATTTTGCCTCCTCCTATGAAAGACAGTTCTAGATCCCTTAAACAAACACAAAACAACTGAACGCTGAAATTCTTCTAGATTATGAAAAATTTCTTTTCAGACTACTATGGAGACTACAAGAATAGACATTTCTTATTTAATGATGTTCTCTGAACTAAAAATGAGTCATACTTTTTAAAAAAATAACCAGGCTTGCATGAAGAATGCTTGTGGTTAAATCTAATAATCAATTTTATTTTCTGTCACAATAGCTTCATCGCTACTGCCATTCTTGTCCATAGCTGTGTTTTAAAGACATTCTGAAAACCACACTTACCAATACCAGGTGACTTTGACAAGTCCCACTCATTTCCACCAGCTCCAAGAGGTTGTGCAGTACATGATTTTATAGTTAACATATTCTTGTTCCAGGAAGTAGAGCATGGATTACAAAGTGATGCTGCACCCAAAGAGCCAGGAACAATATTTGGACCTAAAGGAATTCTTGCCATAAGTGGATTCTCAACATGTCCTGCTGGGATACCAGAACATGAGAGCCCTGCTGGAAGGCTGAAACCTGCAGAGCTGGAGCCGTGAAACTGAGACAAAACTGTATTTCCAGTAGGTGGTAAATTTCCCAGGTGCTGTTGTGTAAATGGAGTCGTTGCAAGAGAACATTCTGTAAGCAACGTGGGAACAGAAGAAATTGCTGCACTCTCAGAGGTAGTGACATGGGATTTAAAGCTTGAAATAGGAACATATTGTCCATCAGATGAGTTTTGACTGAATGGCATATAAATGCTTAATCCAGGATACATAGGTAATGTATTCGAGGATGGTAATCCTTGCCTCTGTGTTTTGCTCGTTTGATCCTTCCACACTTCTTGTGTGCAAACATTAGCAGAAACTGGCTGAAAAACACTGAATTTGCTTGGTAAAGCTGATTTAACATCATCTAGCTCTTTATGATTTGATACTGTGTTTGAAACAAGCTCTTTTTCGTTCTTCAGAAAAGCTTCTTTGGACACTTCTTGACCCAGTACATCATCAATATTTCTTGGAAGACCCACAAGTCCGTTTTCTTCTGATTTCTGGTCAATACTAAGCAGTGTTTCTTTCCTACTTCTTTGACATGACTGGTCTTCTGGATTTTTATTTGTATGTTCCTGAGAAGGAGTTGGGCTGGCTTGAATTATCGTTGTGCTCAACTCAGTAGCATTTTCACCCTAATAAACAAGCATAATTACACAGTATTACAAATTTTAGAAAAGCAAATAGGGTACCTAAAACAAACCAGATGTTAATACTGGTATTGCCATCCAATGTAAGCAATGAAGTTTATCACATCTTCTCTGAAGTTTCGCTTTCGTAACATCAGTGGCGCTTCACCTTGAAAATGAAAACCTGTAACTTCAACCTGTTGGCTATCTAAAGTCTATTCTAGCTATGTGTACTGGATCTGGCTGGAATGGAGTTAATTTTCTTCGTAGCAGCTCCTGGGTGCCCTATCTTTAGATTTGTGACCAAAACAACACTGGTAACACACCAGCACTTTAGCTATCACTGAGTAGCGCTTGCATAGCATTAAGGTCTTCTCCACTTCTCACTCTGCCACTCCAAGGAGTAGGCTGGGGGCAGGGAAGAGGTAAGGGGGGGACACAGTCAGGACAGCTGACCCCAACTGACTAAAGGGAAGAACCCACAACTATGGGAGGCATTTTTCCAAAGCAGCTGTTGCTTGGAGACTGGCTGAGCACTGGTCTGCTTTTCCATCACCTTCCTCCTCCTCTACTTACTAAGCCATCTTGAACTCTGACAGAGGAAAAAGAGAGCTACACAAAAGGGTGGAGGATCTACAGTATAAAGCAGTTGTTGAGCTTAAGTAAATAGGAGTTGGGAGGCAGGGAAAGGCATGTGAAAGAAGGGGAAAGGACAACAAAGTAGCTTGTTCAGAATGCTGTAGAAAAGTAATTTGTAAGCCTCAGCCCTTTAAAAAGGGCATTTAGGGCAGCTGTCTGAGGTCGGCTGACTCACCAGGTCAAATCAACCATACAAGAAATAAAAATTTAAGAAATCATGCACCTTTGACAACCTGACCCCAGTGCTAAAGGCACCATTGGGTAAACACATTGTGCTATAGTAAGCATTCAGATTTGAAGATAACACCGATACAAACATTCTTCGTGTACAGAAGAAGCTTCACGTTCGTTCCTTGACTGAAAGTGGCTCTTACCAAGTACAAATGAGATGAAGATCTCTTGGTCTCTCTCTCAGCACAGAAGATCACTAAACCCAAAGCAATGAGTAGCATTACAGCGCTATAAAACGAACTTAAAAATGTACTCGTAATACAGATGTAAAATTTTGGCAAAGCACTTGAGGACCTCCTTGCTGATCTATCCTGGAGAACAAAGACTATGAAACAGTAACATCACTGCAAGACAGAGGGGCAAGCTAGTATGTCACCTGCCAATTCCCACTGGAAACAAAGATGGAAAAGAACAGATATTCCCTGGGTAACTTGAGCAACTAGACCACGAACAAACAGGCTATAGGCAGAACACAGGCTTCCTTCTTCCTGATGCTGTCAGCACGAAGCAACATCCTATAGGAATATATAGGATGAAGAGAAGGCTTCACACTAAGCTTTCACTAGCTACCAGTCCGGAAAAAACTCACCCTCTGCAAATACAAAAACTCCCCCCCAAAAAAGCATAATACATAGCATTTCTATTTCCTGTGTAACAGAAATCCACAACTGATACAGATATTGCAAGATAAATGTAATCACTCAGATACAGATGCAGAGAGGTTTTGAGTTTTTTTCAGCTTTTGTCTGGTTTTGGTTGTTTTTTTTTTAAATTTCATCCCCATTTGCACACACTTTGGAAAGGAAAGGCATAAAAGGAGGATTCCGGATGCCAAGAAACCCACGGATTTAAATAAAAGAATGCCAATTATCTTAACATAAGATTGCAAGTCTGAACAAAAGTTTTACTCTTTGCTAAAGCAGTAAGAATAGTCAAGAGTGACTGTCAAAGTTAGAAAATGGTAGCTTCAGTCCTGAAAAAAAGAAGCTAAAATACACATTCCTAAACGATTCTCCAGGAAAAAAAACATAAAAGGAAAAATATTCTAACAGCTGAAGCTGAGCAGAAAGTAAGTTTCAGGAGTGATGAAAACAGATACAGAACCTGCAAATTACTACTTGAATATTGCACTAGATTCCAAGAAGAGAATGACTTCACAAGAAATTGAGGGGAAAAAAAAAATAAAGGAGAAAAATACTCCAACTTTTTTCAGAAGTTAGTAGTTCTTTGAACATATTACTACATTTGTATTCATTGGAGCTGGTGCATTTAATACAATTTACTTCAGAATTATATTTCTGAAACTCAGGAGTGGGGGAGAAGCAGAATAGCTTTTCCCTATGCACAGTATGTCCTAAATTGCTCTGTAACCTTTACAGCTTTTTAAATTTAGAATTATTTTTACCATTTCAGGGTTTAGTTTAGGGGCAAGGGGGAGGTATTGCTGTGTTTTTTCTAAAGGAGGGGAATTATTACACATTTACCGTTTAAGATTCTCTTACCCAGGATGTCTCCGAATTACGTATTACAGATGTGTTCTTAAGGGTACTGTCAGACGCAGAGACATACGTTAATCTGCTCATGCTAGGACTTGAGTAAACTGACCGAGGTAGTAAACTCTCTTTGTGAGAAGACTCCTGATAATGTGACGTGAAGTCAGTTTCAGACCTGAAAAATAGTTTCAAAGTAGGTCAGAATATATTTCTAATGCTGACCCCAAGAAAACAATGGTACACATTAGCAATACTATTCTAAAAGTCTACCTGGCCATTCTTTTTTGTACAGTCAGTGGAAATGAAAAAGCAGCTTTCAATTAACCTTTACAAGTTCTAACTTTTACGTGCATAAAACTTATTTTTAATAGATATAAATCCTTAAGGCAAAGCAGAGTTCCACAACTGAACTCGGATACTATGGTCACAGAAAAAAACCACAACAAAAGAAGAAATCAATACACTTGTATCTAACTAAATGGAAGAAGGTCAGACAAAATCATTTAATATCCCAGGCATCGCACATTAGTATTTCCTAATCACTCCTGAGATTCTCTTCATTTCACACACCTGAAAATACAGGATCTCTCACCACTTCTTCAAACAAGGTAACATGAAAACAAAGTCACTGACAATTTTAACTGGAAATCCTGCTTTCTATTTAACATGCTTGAAAATACACATGTACTTCTGCACATTTTAACTTCTGCAAAGCATCAGACAGCCTGTAATTCTAATATCATGTACAACACACTGCAGTTAAATATCAAACAGTGAACTTAAAAGCCAAAGAAATCACTTGCCTTCTCTTTTTATGAGGATGTATAAAGCCACTGGCTATGGTCATATTTATATTTTTAAAACTACATATAGTCAATGTAGTTGTGATTTTATAACTTATGTAACATTTACTGTTATGGGAGCTGATTTACAAAATATCATTCTTTCAGTTGCCTTAAGTCTTAGACATTAATATCATTCTTTCAGCAAGCCTTAAGTCTTAGACACAAGTTGCAGTTTCAAAATATGAAATGGTCAAAAGCAATACAAATATTTCTGCCCATCCTTTCTGACAACAAGCAGTGGTATGAATCAGAGAACCAAACTGAGTGCAATATTTATAAGTTTTAAAAGAAAAAAAAACCACCACACCACCACAACTTCATTGGTCTATGCAATGTCAGGCTTTGCTATCATATAATTAATGGCATAACCCTCAATCAAATAACTTTATAATAGATGGATTATGATAGAAAAATAATTAACAAAGATGGGATTTTATAGCTCCTTTAACACAAAGTTTTATGTATCTGACTAGCTAACAGGCTGAATATTTTGTATTCTTGCATTACTGAGCATAAATAGCAATGTTCCTATCCAGCATCTGTCTCATGAGGCCACTAAGGAAAATTAAAAAAAATTTAAAAAAATAACAATTGCTTAAGACTGCTTCCCCATACACATAATGAAAGCAAACAGAAAGCTTAGTCTAAGAATGAAGTCTTAGCCTAATAAAAATGTTCTCTAAAGTAAGGACAACATTCAAAATAAAACTTGATCTCTCAAAAACCCTGATGAAGCATTAATAATTCTCATAACCTGCACCAAGAAATTTACCCTGAAAATGCAGTTCCAGAAGTGTCACTAGGAGAAGAGTGAATTAGTGGTGAAGTTGAAGGTCTGAAGCTACACTGCTCATCCTCCAGAGGCTGTAAGTCACCTTGAGACAGAACAGGTTTATGCTCTGGTAAATAAACAAAACACAATAACAGTATTTATTTAAACACAGGGAACCAGTCTACTGTGCAGGAAAGTCTTTTCAACATCTGGTTACATTTATTTAGGTTTACTTACCAGGACTATTCTGGGAAGTTGGGGAGAGCTTCTCAAAAGTTACATGTTTCTCATTCCCACCACAAGCAGTATGAGCACCTTTGTTTCTCTTCTCTGTTTTTGCATTTTGCTTCTCTTCACCATCGCTCAATTTCTGCACAGGCCTTGCTTTTGTAGGACTTTCGGAAACATATTTACTAGATTGCTTGGCAGGTTTCACATTGCTGATTGACAGAGCATTTCCTGTTCTTCTCTCTAGCAAATCATTACAAGGTTCAGGAACAGCATTTGTTGCTTGATCTACCATTTCTGTGTCTTCCCTGATGCAACATCTATTCGTGAGATCCTTGATCCGGTAATCAAGTGGACTTCTTGGTGTCATTTCCAATTTTGCTGCTAAAGAAATTCCAAAGGTCTCTGTTTTGTTTCCAGTAGGTGCGGTTTGGGTATCCAGCGTATCTGATCTGAGATCAGCATTCACTGTCTGTAAATGTTTACTATTTACTAAGTCTGACAATTTTTCTGGGTATTTAACACTGTTTGCAGTTATGTCTCCATGGTTGGGAACACCAGACAGACTAGAGAAATCCTGAATATCATTTTCTTCATTAAAATAATGCAGAAATTGCTTCTCTAATTCTTGCTGCTTGTTATGATTATTTACCAAGTCTTCTGTAAGAGTATCTTTATTTTTATCTTTATCCAGTAAAAAGGTATCAGGCATAAGGTTCTGGACAGATGCTTCATGTTTTACAACACTCTCATATTCACTTTCATGTCCGATTTCATCTGTTTTTTTGAGGTACTTTTCCATATCAAATGCACTATTTTCCACACTGCTGGGTAACACCTGGTTAGCAGCGAGTTCTGTCTCTTTAACAATCCCAGGAAGGAAATGTGTTCTTTTATTAGAAAGTGCCATCATCATAGAAGCTAGCTGGGCAGGCTCAGCACTGGGGGAAGCATTAGCAATAGCAGATGCAATTGTGCTAATACTCAGGACAGAGTCACAGTGGTCAGATAAGTCGTCTTTAAACTTGTCTTTATGAATTCCATCCTGTAACAAACCAAAATGATTTTAGCACCAAATTAATAAAGTTTTGTTCACTGTTTCTGGAGGCTTTTCTTGTTTTAATTCTTTTGCATTTCTGCATATGGTAATACATCAACCTTTCTAGTTGTCACATTTTTAACCACCTATCAAGAAGGAACACTGCAACAGGCACAATTCTTATTGCACTGATTTTTAAGTCTACTTCACAAAGTGGTTTTTTTAAAGATTAAATAAAGACTGCCTGCTAGAAAGAACCTTAGTTCCTGTAATATGTTTTAATTCAGTTGGAAGAACGAGGAGTAAAACCTCATCAGGAACAAACAGCAGAGAAGAAGCTACTATGACCCAATATACAGTATCATCCCCAATTAACTTTAAATCATCTGCCTCTCCACAAGGGGAAAGACAAAGCTATTTCTAGTGTTTTTCTGTCACTCAAGTCTGATTTCTTCAGTTTTGGCATTGGGTATCCTTAGTGAAGGGCATGGAATAAGTAGAACGCAATCTCTTCCCACTTCTCTTAGATACACATCCATCTAGGAAGAAAATACCTGTTCTGCTGTAGATATGCGTGCACATCTTCACAACATCCTCACAAAAAGAGGGATGAAGTATGGAGCAGGAAAGTGGACCATGACTGGACGGAAAACCAGCCAAACTGCCAGGCTCAAAAGGTTGTGATCAACAGCACGAAGTCCAGCAGAAAGCCACCCACTCAGTAGTGGAGCACCCCAGGGGTCAGGATGGGAGCCAGTACTGTTCAATACCTTGATTAATGACGTGGATGATGGGGTACAGTGCACCCTCAACAAGTTCAATCATCAGGAAAAACTGTGAAGTGTAGTTGATACACCAGCAGAGTGAGCTGTCATTCAGAGGGACCTCAACAGGACAGAAAAATGGGCTGAGACAAATCTCAAAGTTCAAAGGGAAATGTCAAGATCAGCACCCGGGGAGGAACAACCCCATGCACTGGTACAAGCTGGGGACTGACCAGCTACAAAGTAGCTTAGCAGAAAAGGACTTGGGGATCCTGGCAGACATGAAGTTGACCATGAAACAGCAACGTGCCCTTGTAGCAAAGAAGGACAACAGCAGTTAACAGGGCTGCAGTTAACAGCTACTATGCAGCTTAAGGAGGTGGTCCTTCTCCTCTACTCAGCACTGGTGTGACCACATCTGGAGTTCTGTGTCCAGTTATGGACTCACCAGTAGAAGAGAGAGACGTGGACATACTGGAGAGAGTCTAGTGAAGTGCTACAAAGATGAGTAAGAGCTTGGAGCATCTGTCATGAGGAGAGAGCTGGAACTGTCCAGCCTCAAGAGACAAAGCTCAGGAGGAAATCTTATCAATGTGTATAAATATCTGACGGGGAGAAGTAAAGAAGATAGACCCAGACTCTTTTCCAAGGTATCTAGTAAGAAAAAAGGAGGCAATGGGCACAATTTTAAATACAAGAAACTCTGTTTAAACATAAGGAAGAAATTTTCCATGCCAGCATGATCAAACACTGGAACAGGTTGCCCAGAGAGACTAGAGACTCTCCATACTTGGCGATACTCAAAATCAGACCTTGATCAACCTGCTCTATTTGACCTGGCTCTGAGCAATAACAGATGGACTAGATGATCTCCAGGAGTGCCTTCTGACCTCATTCATTCTGTGACGCCGTTTGTAGGATTGTACAATTTGAGAGTAGAATCATAGACTCATAGAATGGCCTAGCCTGGAAGGGACCTTAGAGATCATTTAATCCAACCTGCCTGCCATGGGCAGGGATGCCTCTCAACTAGATCAGGCAACACAAGGGACCAAACAGGAATCGAACCCGCGACCTTGGTGTTATCAGCACCACACTCTAACCAACCGACCTAGGGTAGATTAGAATCAGAATATACATTATCAAAATCCCAAATTATTCATTTTGTATCTAGAACAATAGAGATAACGATAAATTAGAAAGAAAAGCAATTATGGCAGTACATAGAGGAAAAATCCAACCATTTAAATCTGCTCTTTCATTATTTGATCAGCTAAACCAAGTCAAACTGACTACCTACTGATTCCTTTCAGTGACCATGTAAACGAACAGCTGTTTCTGTAACTGAATGGGCCGGTATATGTGCCATCTAATGAGAAAAAGAACATGACACACGAAGGCAGAAAAGGTACATGTCTAGAATAACCAAACTGAAAATATACCTTTTCAGACTTACACCACATCAGTATTTTTGAATTGTATCAAGTAAAATACTTTAAGACAATCTTTTTCATTAAAAGAAACACAATAGAAGGGGAAGACATAGCTGAAATTCAGAAACTTGATTGAAGAATGTCACTGTAGCCTAGGAATCCCTGAAAAACTATGAGCTGACAGATGAAGCAACTCCAAAAGTGAAGCAGGAAGAAAAAGAAAAATGAAATGGTCATAGTAACACCTGACTCACTACAGGATCATGGCATTCTAATTAAACTGTCCTAACTAACAGCAGCATCTGGTAGGATTCAAACGATCAATATAAAAAGCAGTGAGCTAATACGGAAGTCCAAATTTAGCTATATTCAAAGACACAATAATATGGTTATCTGAATTTTGTTCAAGTTCATAGTTGCACTTAATAGAAATATACAAGGGAAATACCTTTGCTTTACTTTTAGTAACAGCTCCTGTATTAATGCTTTTATGTATTCTAGCTGCAGTATCCATTCCATGCCATGCACCTTCACAACTGGTAGAATTTGCATGTTCTTCTGCTTGTGCTTCTAAGTCACCTAAGAACAAAGAAAAAGACAGGGATTTAATTTACAGTAAGTAAACTTTCTAAAAGTAGACTACATATTAAGCACAAACGGTCAGCTCAGCTATAACACAAGTTATTTTCCTTCCTTTCCAATACTGTCTATATCCATATGAGCAAACAGACCAATCTTCTGGGGGTTTTTGTTTGGCTTTTTTTTGGCAATAAAGCTTCTTCAATAGGAAAACTCTGAACATACTTCAATTATTACAAGACATTCTGGTAGTCATCCAATATCTGGAAATGCTGAATAATCCAATATAACTTAAGGTAGTACTTGATATTACAATGTTCTTGCTTCTGAGTGCTTAGGTTCTGTGTTTTCCTGAGGGAAGGGAGGTGGGGAAGTGCTCACAGCAAGAAAGATACATAGTAAATGAAAATCAGAGTCTTCCTATCACTGATTAGTCTTAGTAGTCTTTAATAGCTATATACAAGTAATTCTTAACTACTATTATAACCACTGTCTAGGGTTAACCCTTCTGTTCTATAATTACCTGGAAACACCTCAGACAACTGCGAAATCTCTTGGCCAGCATCACCTCTTGATGAATCAGATTGCCTTAGCAAAGCAACAGGTTGCCTTTTCTTTGGAGATGTAATATAGTAACCAAAAGATGGCTATTAAAAAAAATTTGAAAAAAAAAAAAAAAAGGTTCAAAAGGCTTCAAAGCAGTTTCAGCCACAGTACCTCCCCAGTTGGTGTCTGGCTCTCGTAACACTGAGAAATAACATATGCCTCCTAGCATTGCAAATGCCTACTCCAAATACATACACTTCCAATATGTACATAAAATGAACTAAAAAATCATTTACACCAGTTTGACAAAAGAAAGTACATATGCTCTCAACATCTCTGCCTAGAGGCATGCTCTGCTACTCAGCCTCTGAATGCACCAGGACAGAACATTCCACTTCTACCAATTCACCAGGACACGACAATTACACAAGCATATTTGACTTTCTCCTCCTATTGTACACACTTCCCCACTGCTTTTCTGCCTGCAACACAGAGGAGATACTCTCTACCAACAGCAGATAAGAGACAGATAGATGCAAGAAACACACAGAAGTGTGCTGGTAAATTAGAGTCTAGATGACTACATTTTTACTGAAGTTGAGCATCTGCTTAGATAACACATCAGTATCGATTCAAAAATACCCTCATTGTTCAAATACCTCTGTGTGAGCAGCATTTCATTCAACTATTATTATGCAGATCATTTGCTTGGACCTTCAACGTGCATCCCATATATGGCATACTTTTCTCTCTCTAATCCTACACATAATTAGTTCTCGATGAACAGGTGAAGATAAAGATTTATTGTTAACATCAGCCAGCCCTTTACAACCAAAATCCCAAGCGGGAAACAAAAGCCAATGCGGACCTGTCATGCACAGATAATTTCCTTCACAAGTGAACTTAGAAAAGTAGTTCTCAGAAAGAATTAATTACAATATTAAAAAAAACAATAATAGTGCTAGTTGCTGTTGTTCGTCCTTTCTTTATGTCTTAATATTACCATCAAGATATATACCCGTTTGACATCATTGCCTCCACCAAGACAACCAAGAGCTTCAGATCTCTGACCAAAGAACTCCCCCAAAGACAAACGTAAATAACTGGCATCTTTATCAAGATCAGATGTTGTCGGCAGAATGCAGCTATTGGCAGATTTCCATGAAGAATTTGCTAATTCAGACGCATTTAGGATGTCTACTTTTTCCACCTGCAGTCGATGTGCTTTCTCAAATTCTTCCTGGTCTTGGGCAATCATAGCTGCTGCTTCAGCTTAAAACCAAAGAGAAAATTTACTAAAATAACGCATAACTTATTAAGTGCAGTCATTACTATTTTGCAATGCTAAACTCAATTTTGAGGGACAGCTATTGCAATATCTAACTCTACATCTGAGACTGCCTAGGACATGCTAGAAGTTTTTCCATCCTGTTATGGTGACAAAAGTTCACATGAAATTTGCTTTAACAGGGTACTCCCTAGAGTTTCAGAAGTCAAAGTAAAATCAGCATTTAACTAACTAGCTTGGTGAATAAAGAAAGTATCTTACAGCCTTAACTCCAAGCCAAACTATAACTTTTCATAGATTATGCTATCCATATTAGATAGAATTGAGCATCGTATGGCTATTTCTGAACAAACTTCACTACATTTGGTTTTGAAAATTTCATCAAAGTGGTACCTGTGAATCGAAGCAAAAGAAACAGACTAGTTTGCACCAGTTCATTAAATACTTGTGCAAATTAGCAGGCTAAATAAATCACTACTTCTTTGGAATTCAAATGCTTGTATTATTTTCACAATTACCATTTATAGAACAATGAACACTTAAAAGTCTCTTCACCAAAACAACATGAAAAACTGCTGCTCAAGAGATATTCCTCCACCCTCTTATTCCATTGTTAATGTATCATTAAGCTCATCAAAATTTAGAAAATATGTGGCCTTGTACACATAGCATCCCTAGTCAGAGCGGACAGTGGGCAAATGGAGGAATAAGTTAAGAACACACATTCTAGCTGATTTTGTAGTACTTTCTTGTTTACAATTATTTCATGTCTCAGAACCATCATGCAGTACAGAACAACTGTTTTCTCTTCTTGAAAAAAAGGATAATGACAATTAAAGTCCAATGGAAAAATTGTGGAAATGACAGCTACAGGAGTTATTTTTGCTCGTACAGTAGATACCGGTGGCACATGTTAGAATGCTTTTTGAAACAACATAAAACACTCTTCACAGGAAGAGTGGAAAACCTGGAAAGAAACTATCAACTATAACCAATTATACAAATCAGACGCTACTGTCAACATCAGCATTCCCCTGCCCATGGCAGAGAGGTTGAATTAGATGATCTCTAAGGTCCCTTCCAACCTAGGCCATTCTGTGATCAGCTTTCAAATAATTTGTAGTATCTAAAGCCTGAAGGCTTTGCAACACCAAATACTGATTTGTTGGGGGGGGGGAAGGAAAAAAGTTTACTTAACACTACTGCAGATAACAACAGCCAACTAGAAAGGAAAAAGATTACATACATCCAGTAATGAATTTCTCCTTTATTTTATCATTTTCAGACACATTTAAATCTTGTTCTTCATCAAATGAAGTATAATATGCAAGATCAGTCACCCATCTGCCCTCTTCATTTTGATAGACAATGCTGTGTGGTAAATCACCTGAAAGATATACAAAACACTACATTGACGATTAAAATAAAAAGGAATATGGCAAAGTCTTAAGCGTAGATTAAAGAGTTGGCTTATCAGAAGTCAGCAACAAAAACACAGCTCAAAGTTGCTGCAACCACAAGTTTAAACAAGCTTCATCATCAAACAAACAACAGTCAACTGCAATATACAGGTCAGTATTTTTAAAAACAAAGCCAAGTAAAAATGTATTCATCCTAAATTGTTTTTTATTACCAACTTACACAACTACAGAAGAACGCAGAGCTTACAATTCTATTTCTTTTTCCACATGACAGAGTCTGGTGACAACTGTATCCATGTGTATAGATGCATACATCTAAAAGCAACCTACCTCTGTCCGCTGTAGCCAAACTCATGCTCTCACAGCTGTCCACAGTTGGAGACAGGTAAGCGTCAGGAAGACCAGCTTCACATTCAGTTGCATCTGTCTGAGGCGCGTTTGCACTAAGAACATCAGGAGTGGTGCACTGCCCTAAAAATCCTCTTGCTGCATGTAGTACTGTCTCAGAAGCAGCAGCCTGATACTCAGAGGTCTGTATTTCTTGCTTAGAAAGGACATCTGAAACATCAGCTTTACAGCCGTCCGTGCACTGCAGGTACAGTGAATCTAATCGCAACTCGGCGGCAGCGCAGGAATCTAGCACATCTCCAGTAGTCATGGAATTCTTAGAAAACAATATTCATTTGAAAAGTGTCAGAAGTGCGGTTACTAACTGTTTGTGCTAACAGTTTTAGGTACAAAATAGTCAAAATTAACCATGTTTGAAAATATGTCTAAAACCAGTGGTGTTACCAGTTTCTTGTAAAGAAAGGTTGGGTTGTTAGTTCAATCTCTAACAATTTTTCAAGCACACTGTCAACTTCTACTACAGTCTTACTTTACACAATAAACAAATTTAAATCACAATTTCATACCAGTTGCTGTACAGCTTTAGGCAGCATTTGTCTTTGCACAGGACATACAGTCACGTCTTCATTGTGTGAATCTTCATCACTAGCATTTTCAGAGTCTACTCCTGTCACAGCCTGGTAAGTGTCAGGAACCTGAAAGTTTTCCTTTTAAAAAAGTTAAGACAGAAGTTACACTGGAGTAGATGTGCCAAAGAAAAAAAATGTTAAGACCACAGTTGTTTTTACAAGGTAAAGAAGTTCTTTAGTAAAGAGATTGTCATACTTTATTCACTCATGTGCCATGGCCAGAGGCATGTCCAGCTGCTAGTACCACCGCCACTGAGGACAACAGCTCCTGGCCATGCCAGGCTATGTATCTGCCTCCAAGGGCACACACAGCAAGAAGATGGAGAATCCCCTCTTTCTCCTACTACATCCTTTCGCTCCCTTTAACACGGGCACCATGCTACTCCTCTTCCCCTTCTGGTTGACCCACGGATGAGGACTCCAAATCCAACTCTGTCTACAATGGTAGTGAAGCAGGAGCATCTTACACAAATAGAGAAGACCCAAGGTTTCAGTTTAGTTTCAGTTTAGCTGATCAGCTTGCTGGGTCTGGAGCAGGCAGGGTAAAGTAAAGCATTTCATGAATATTAGCATCTGTTGGGTTTTTTTAATGGATTTATCTTTCCTCAAAAACTTTTTGCATTCAGAAGCTGGTAATCAAAATTAAATTCATGCCATCATAAGCCAATGGTATCAACACAGACTTCTGCTTGCTTACGATTGGTATTATTTCCCTTAGTGGACTTGTGAGGATCCCAGATGCTTATCTACAAGCACTTTACCACCTCTGACACTAAAAATCACTACTAAGAAGCTGAGAGGGGAAGCGAGATATATGAGAAACATTCATAACTTCAAGGATTCCAGACAATGCCTCAGAGGTACAAGTTAAGACCAGCATAAACAATCCAAAACTCTAAAAGAAATATTTACTTTTGTAATAAGGATTAAGAAATGCAGTATTTAGTCCATGAGAAAAAGTCCATCTTCAGGAAATACTACCGATGCTATATTAATTACAGGATTTCTCTGAGGACAAGTCCCCATCATCCCAGAGAAAGGACAGAAATCCAGTCTCAGGAGTTTGGGGGTTGTAGTGGGTTGATTTTTCCTCTTTGCAAGAACAAATAACAGAATTGACTGCACAGGGTTGTCTCCTAGAGCGGCTTATTAGGATAAAGGACAAGGTTATGCACAAGACAAATGTGGGGAGCAGGATTTAGACAGGGGTGAGAAATCTAAATGAAGACTTGAATAAAGAAGATGCTGTAATAGGGAACTCTTCAGCTTTGCTGGGACTCTTGGGACTGCCGTGGGACTCCTTACCTAATTGTACCTTCTCTCACAAACAGCAAGACTTCCTCTAACAAGTAAATGAATCAGCTGCTAGCTCTGCACTACAAGGAAGAGGAAAATAAATACAAAAATAGCTACCTAACTGCTTTCCTTTCTTTTTTTTTCTTCTTTTCCCAGGAAAACCTTGCAGAGGGAACAGAAAAAGCAAAAAACTCACTCAAATGGCTTTGTTTCTGATTTAGGGCGGTATTTGATAATTTTAAATATAAAAATAATCCTTTGCTGTAAAAGCCACCTGTTGGGCAGTATTTGAGTTTGTCAGGAAAGAAAGAAAACCTAGTTCACCCTAGCAGACAACCCTCAATGATACTAATATGTTTAAGGGCCATTGGGAATGCTGAGCTTTGAACTTTAAACCTACTTGAAGTAAGCCATCTGCAGAAAGTTTCAGCGCTGAACAGCATTCTGAGAGTCTCTGTATGTCAGCATCTCCTCTTATTTCTGGCTGTATCAGCTGCTCAAAATAGGCTTCTAGTTGGTCATCAGGGAACTCTTCATCATCAATATCACCATCTGTTGACAGAGAAGAAAACACTCTATTCACCTTTTATGCACTTTTTGTATCACCTGACACAGCACCAAGGAACTCCATTTTTAATACATTGAGTTTCACAACACATGCACACAGTCAAAGCAGAACTGTCATGTTTTCCCCTTAAAATAACTGGGTCACAGAAAAATGTAATTTCTTACTCTGTGACGAGTGATATGCAGCAAAACAAGATGACTATAAGCCAGCATTTTAACTCCTTGACTACCAAGCAGCTCACCTTCCTTCACAGGATTTATATACCACCACATTTCAACACACACATCATACAGATACTCATAAATTAAAATATACACAACATCTCTCAAACTTCACAGAACACAATTGAAGCCTAGTTGTTTATTTCAATGACAAAAAATGTTGTGGGAGTACTAAAAACAGTACTATTCCTATTTGCCAAGTGAAAAGTTTTCAAAGACACACTTTTTCTTGTGTTGAGGCTGTTGTTTTGGTTTTTTTTTTTAATTAGGGGAGGTGGGACTAGCAGCAGAGGTGAGCATCCAGGGCTTGCTTTTTTTCATTTTAAAATGATCCAAACATGAGTCAGCTTTTTAGGGCATGGTTAAATGCACTCTTAAAACCATTGTAAAACATATTCCAAGAAGTTTGACATCTTTATTTTTATTCTTTTATTTCCAGAAAATAAAAGAATTTAGAAACTTGATTATCCTTATTAAAAAAAAAAACAACAGTATACTCAAACAGGCCTTGCATTTATAAACTCAGTTATATTTTGCTTTTCACATAATTAAAGAAATGTTCATTTTCAGGTTGCTAGCAATGTTTTAAGAATTCTCCATCAATTTTGCCCATGAAGTACATTTCAAATCTTCATCTCAAAAAGGTAATTCTGAAGAATCTTTTTAATATTTCCTTCTGCAAAAGAAATCTACACAATGCCAAGAACATGCAGGAAAAGCAGTACATATACACACACACACACATAAGCAAGTCATCATTACTTATGCATTCCCAGTTTTTGCAAGTGCCCTGTACAAAGAGCCTGATTTACAGAAGCACATTCTTTCAACAAAACGAGCTTTAGTTGAACTGGAAGTGATGGATGCTCAACAAAGCAATCAGGTTCTGTTACGTTTGGGAGTCAATAAATGAAAAATCTGAATCCATGTTGTGTGTCCATAGTTGCCCAAATGGTAGACAAATACCTGCAATTCAAACTCAGATTAACAACAATATGATAATTGTTTTTATCTCATTTACCTATGTCTTCATTTCTTCTTTGTGAAACTGAAATAATAATCTGCTACCTTCCAAACAATGAGAAAGCAGATTAGCATATTTTACATCAGATACCAGAGACTTTGTTCTTATTTTTAGGAATACTCAGCTGTCAAATTTACACTGAATACAGAATTATATAATAAAAATCAGTTAATTTAACCAGTATTGGAATGCTATACAGGCAAGTATTTCCAGCTAATGACTATCAGCTCCTTAGAAGGGCAGTTTAAAGTAATTCAATTTCCTTGGATGGAAAAAAAAAACCAACACGTGGTATTTTTACTCAGCAAACTATTGACTTCATTTTTTTATGCTTAACACATGAGTGACATTATACAACACGAACAAGAAGACTCAAAAATTAAAGTCATGGCATCTGTAGACATCACGGGAGAAATCCAGTAACCCTACTTGAAAGCAGGGCTGCTTGATCTCAGGATGGCAGTAAACCCATTTATCAGTCTGCCCTCCTTGCTCTTGGTACATCTGAGGACATACCCTGTCATCCTTCACATTGTGTGCGAAGTCAACTGCATTAACAAAAAAGAGCGTATTTGTCCTTCAGCAGCAGCCACTGGAAGGGCACAGAAACTTCAAAATTCTTATTTATAGTTATACAGAACTGAAGCTCTCACTTCTATCCCTATGGGTAAACCAGACTCAGGACTTGGTTGTCACCAGGCAGGCACAGCATCTAAAGAGAACTGAAATTCAAGTAAAGTTTAATTCTAACTGCACGTACATGTTCTTCGTAATAAAAGTTTATCTCCATTAATCTAAACTGAAACTGTAGTTACGGTTACTACTGTATCTGTTGAATGTCCCCATTTCTACTTGTATATTTGATTCACAGTAACTTAGGTTAAACTTTCAACTGTGATTTTCCCTGACAAATTTCATAGCTACCTACTCCAATTTTAAAACAACTAGTTTCCCAGTGAACACAGATTTCTCTAATATTCCTAATATTATTTTTTGATCAAGCATAATCCCATACTAAATACTTTCAGTAAATACCTCTATTCTCAAGCACACAATAACAATTGCATCAGAATTCAAACTCAGAATTATAACCCAGAGATATAAATAAACTTACCGGTAGAATCTTCTTCTGAGCTTGCTAGAGATGAGAGTTTCTCATTTTCCAAAAAACTTGAAAGGCTGTTACTAAGGTGATCACTTGACATTTCATCTTCCATCAGCTTTTCAGAAGGTTCAGATGGACCAACCTGTGAAAAGCATTCGCACTAAAATGTTTCTAGGAGTTACTAGCTACTGTATACATTCAGTTAATAATAAACTAGTGATGAGGTTAATAATATTCCAAAACTTTCCCAAAACCATTTTTTCCCCTCATACTTGTCCTAGCAAACATTCTAGTTCCAATGGACTTTATCTGCTAGCTTCCAGAACACATACATGCAAGAAATACAGGGATCATAAATGGGGAAGAGGAAAAAAGCATCCGAACGAAACCAAAGTTAAGACCTCAAAAATAAAATAATAAACCACTTCATTAAAGAGTTTACACTTGAAAAAATTGCCCTCGTATTCAATTAAAAAGTAAAAAGACAACTCTCAATAGTTTCCTGTGCTTCTAAAACAGAAATCGCACACCCAGATCAACCCTTTGTTGATAATTTCTTCAAATGAGCATACTAAATTACTGACAAAATAGTATTTCAGCTGGATCTATCTAACTGCAAATACTGTATCTTTTTCATATCTAAATAATTTTTAAAATCAGCACAATGTAACATCTGGTTTGCATTTTTCATAAGGCCACAGAATTCCCCCATTCCTTTCTGTCTTATATCTCTGCACCCATAACTGTGAGCTTCTCTAACACAGCAGATATAAAGAGCTGAAGCACAGCCCTGCAGCAGGATGATTGTGTTCTCACAAATGGTGCAGTTTTTAATGTTGAAGATGCTGAAGAAGTTATCTGAAACAATATTCCTCAAAGTAATTAACAGTTCCAGGGGCAAGTCAGAGCAGGTTGACATTGTCTACTTCAGCTTCCAAAAACATTCCAAAAAGTTCCTCAAACAGCTTTTCACCAAGATAAACTACAATTGGGATAAAACGTAAGGTTCTTACACTGACAGATAACTACAAGACAGCAGAGGTTAGCGGTAAACAACAATTTTCACATTTGAGAAAGAACAGGTGGAGTCATGCTCCCATGGTACTAATTATGTCAAGTGATCTGCAAGGAGCCAAAGCGAGGCACGACAGGCTAGCACTGCTACAAATTCACAGGATACACAACGTAAGGCAGTAAACACAGCTCAATTCCCTCCCTTCTCCTCTCACAGAATTAAGTCTATTATAATATTAATATCAGGAAACTTTTAATTTTACTGTATTTAGAAAAGCTTTCACCTTGTTATTCTTACTGTCTGGAAGAAAACATATCCCAGTTGACAAGTCTGGAACAAAAGAATGTAGTATAATCAGTATTTTATTATGTTGTTATGTTAACTCCTAATTATTCTATAAGATAGCAGATACATCCTCTTGAAAGTTTTGGCACAGTCCACAAAATAACCCCAAAACACATACATTATCATGAAACCAAAGTTTCCATGTTCTTTTAACAATGACCTAAAGTATCTGTGAGTAATTAAAAAGGCAGGACTTCATCAGAGGTAGAACTGTAAAAATTATGAAAGGCGATTGCTGTCCTCAGGATTTCTATAACATAGCACAAAAATGTAAGGAATCCCAGGTTGCACTAGCGGAAGGAGGAACAAGCATCCCCTTCCACTGTTGTATTTTATCTACTGGGCCAATTGTTTTTTCATTTTCCAAAGTATGATTATTCTTGCTGCAATAGTTACTGCCACTTCTTCAAGACTACAGTAAGTGACTGAAGTCAACACTTGACTGTTTGAAGCGTGTCTTACAAGGGCCCACTTATATTACAAACCACAGTAGTTGCTAATTTGGCATGTTCTCTATTAAATTATTAATACCTCATGAAAATCTATGCAAATATTCAGATAAAGCTTAGAAAATGGTAATGATTTAGAAGTATATATTTACTAAGTATATTTACTGAATTTTAAGGAATTAGCAGAATCTAATCCTAGGACTGGCATTAGCAAAAAAAATCAAAGAAGTTTAATATCAATAGCCACACTTTTTAAAAAAGTTACCAAATATTATTTTGCTTCCACTACTCCATTCATACTTCAAAAAAAAACAAGTTTCACAACAAGTATTCCAAACTACTTTTGCATGCATCATCTCACTAGAAAAGTAAATTTTCAGCTTCTACAGCTGCAGTTAAAGATCATCTAATGCAAGTTGGAACAGGCAAGAAAAGGTGTTAGTTAAAATATAACCTCATAGGCTTACAAGGGTAGAAAACAATTTTGATGCACTTTTTTCACAAGTAAAGTTCCTGAAGTTAATTCAGATTCCTTCTAGTATTCTATTCATGGTATTTTATAGCAAATATTATTTTTCCCAGCTTCCTGTCTAGCTTTGTACTTTAGGGAGAAATCTAAGATCACAAAGTTAACCACAAACTTTCTCTGCTTTCAGCTTGTTTGAGTCAAAATGATTCTTTTTCAAAATCCATTTACGCTATGCTGTAAGAGAGCAAAAGGTTCAAGAGAAGACACCTACAGCATAAAAAGCTAATTACACTAAGTATACAATTTTTCTCAAGTTTTAATACCTTCCAATCGTTCAAGTGGCAATACCTCATGTAAGGTATCTTGACTGCAATTTGAATGCTCAATGACATTCTGATCTTGCTCTCCACATACTGAGTGGGATTCCTTCAAACTAACAGAAGTTGGCTGAGGTTCTTTGACTTGTGTAGCAAGTTGCCTAGAAAGAGAATTATTTCAATGAGAAATCACTTAGTGAGATATACAAGATCAGCATTAGTATACACCATCTCTCTCTCTAAGATTTGCTGAATTTCCCAGTTTTAATGCCTTTCTCTCTAGGAAGTCAGTTGTTCCCATTACTATAGATTCTAGACCCATTAACTGACATTTTACAATGAAGATATAAATATTGAGATTACAAAAGTTTCAGTTTCTTGATCTAACATGGGTAACAAATAGTAAAATTTAATGTAACACATGCTACTCTACTTTCTTCTGCTTGTTCTTTCCTCTTTCATTCTTTCAAAAAGCAGGAAAACCATAAAGGGTAAAGGGTCTATTCTGGGCGAGTCCCATGATCCATCTGAGAGCAAGTCAAACCTTAGACAAGATTTTCCCAAGTCCATAATACCAGCATGCCTTTTTGTAACATTAAATTAGGGACCAAATTATAAAGACTTACTGAAATTCCATATAGTTCTGTTAAATGAGAGCTTTTATAATTCTGTGGGAAAGTAATTTTTCATTTCTGGTTTCATAAGAATTCCATAGAGGCAAATAAGCCCATTATGCTACATATTAAATTTTCCACAATAAGTCAACTGAAGCATACTTTTGCTCTAATATTTTAGATAGATAAATGAAACTAACATTTAAAAATCTAAAATGCAACTATTCATGTTTGTACTTTTTTTACTTGAATAATATCAAGATGCCGACTCCCTCTCTGAAATCTCATGTTCTTTGTTTTTATATGGACATACTACCTATAATATAATTTTATCAGGGGGAAAGAGGCACCTTGCAGTTTTTAATCACAACAGGAACAAATATCACCTTGGTTAAAATAACCTATGCAACAGCTTCCAACACTTCCACCACTTAGTAACGCTCTATGAATTATTTCACTATCACTAGTTACTTCTAAAGATTCATTCCTGATACGTACATCAAGTCCAATTAATCACACAACAGAACATTGTTCACGTGAGGCTGTACAGTCTAACTGGCAGCACCACATAGGATGCTTCCACAAAACCTGTCGCTAAGCCTCTTCAGAAAACACAGAGGAGTTGTTTCAGTACGAAAAGCTGCCCAGGCTGCCAAACTCTGTAAGCTAACAGGCTAACGTGCAGCTGAGCTCTCCAGTTACAGCCATGAAAAGGCCAGTAGTGGAAGTTGCTGCAATTCAGATCTGATGTATTCCATAATAAGCTTATAGAATATATAAACCTACATACTACATAATAGCACATGCATTCAGGACAGAATTGGATTTTAACTATCTCACCTGTCATCACGAAAGCTGAGGGCAAATCTCCCCATTGGCTCAGGATCCAACTGACTACTGTGAGAAGATCCTGATGAGGGTGAATGTTTCCCTTCTAAATAGGATGCACAGATATCGGAATGCCTGTAAAAGTGGGGAGGAAAAACACACAACAAAATCATTCTAACATGTACCTCTCCTGCTCTCTAAAGAACTGGGAGGAAAAAAAAACCCAATGTATTGTATCAATGGCCACACATCTCCTGCAAGTTTAATTTATTTGAATGTTTTAGCATTTTCTAACCAATTTGTATTTACAGATACACGTATGCACCCAGAATGATACTGTCTACTCTTCTGTAGTTCTTCAGAGAAATACCCCATGATGATTTTTAGTGGCTAGTGCTGTCCCACTCAGAACGCACACTTCTGGAAAGAGAGGTTATAAAGTCTGATCTTGCTTCTTGTCAAGCCACAGGATGCCATTAAGTGAGTAAAGGCTTCTAATTGTTACTCTTTCCACTATTCCTTGCTGAACAAATCATTATAAATTGTGTTAAATTTTAATTCCTATCCATAATATTAATTCTGACACTACCCCTTCACTCTTTCTAAAATAAGCCAGATTCCAGTAACTTAAATGAACAGTTAATAGAGTTAAGAGAACATACGTAAAAAATGTATTATTCCTTATATGACTTCAAGCTTGGGCACATTAAGCTGAAAAGTCAAGTTAGAAGAAACTTGCTTGTTACATTATCACTCTGAAAACTAAACTACCCTTTCATGGGATAGTTTTAATAAGAGTATTTTACAAGTTATGAATTAATGCAGATTTTTACTTGCTAATACAATCGTCTGCTGATCAGAATGCTTAGTTAAGAATAAAATCAGTACTTTAAGTAACAAAAGAGTAAAAGTAAATACTAATAACAGTATGATTAGTAAATAGTTTTATTATCTACCCAACAATCTGTCAGAAGGATTTTTTTTCTCTCCCAGGTTTCAAGCCAGTCAGTTGCTTTATATATTATTAAGTGGTATTAACCAATAGTCTCACCTGTTGTCACAGCCCACTTTACTCCTGGCAACAGTTGAAGCTGCAACAGGTAAGCCAGGGTTTGAGGAAATAGTAACATTTTCAAAAACCACACTTGCACTGCTACTCAACGAATGGCCCAGGAAGCTTGGGAATGTCTCATCAGCAATATTCCTGAAGTCTTCCATCATCCTGCACAAGTTGCTTAAAATAGCACTCTGCTTGGCAGCACTGTCAGCCCCGGTCCAGCACCATCTGAAAGCAGGAACAACTCTACAATTACACGAGTCACAGCAATGATGTCAAAAGTACGTTATTTATACATCACAGCCAATAGTCTTCGGCAATCGTCCCACTTTATCCTCTCAGGTGCTTAGAAATTATTTCCAGTCTTCTTTCCTCGAGCCTTTTAGGGGCCACAGGGTTTTAGAGCCTTCCTGGCCTTTTTTTTTAAAAAAAAAAGCAGCACTCCTGCAAGCTAGAGTGGCGACGCTCCAAGACGCGCCAACCCTATATTTAGCCCGTAAAGCTGCTTGGACCAAGCGAGCCTTCCTCTGTTTCCACAGCGGCGAGCACCTGGGGAGCTCCCAGCTCCGTAACGCGATTATCTGGGCCGGCGGCAGCCCAGCGCTCCGGGCTCCTCCCAGCGCGGAA